ATATTTTTGGGGAAAAGTTGAAAGTATCAATTTTCCTTGAAAATCAAAATTTCAAAAAAAATATTTTTGGGGAAAAGTTGAAAGTATCAATTTTCCTTAGAAATAAATTTTCAAAAAAAGGGTTTTTGAGGAAAAGTTGAAATTATCAATTTTCCTTGAAAATCGAAATTTCCAAACAATATTTTTAGGGAAAAGTTGAAAGTATCAATTTTCCCTCCTTTCTATCTTAATTTTGATTTTGTTTTTTTCTTTAAATAATCCGACGACGGAGCCTCTGTAAGTGAAACAGTAGTTTTTCTTGCATACTCTTGAGGTGAGGGAATTTTCTCAATTTTCTGCTAAAAGTATTAGAGTCAATTGAGAAAAGTTTCCAATAATTAATTACTTGGTAAAATTTTAAGGCTTTTGGATAACACAAATTTAAGCTGGTACCATCTTTTGATGGGCGTTGTGAGGGTGCTATAACCTTCCTTACACGTAACCGAACTCTCGAACCCTGTTCTAGTTAGTAGACCTGAACCTATTCTTTTAGGGGCCCTTAAACTTAGGTGTTCCCTTGAAGGACAGATTCCATAGGTGGCCAATCGCACCTAGATAAAAAAGATTGGTGGCGACTCCCTGAAAGTCAATGTCTAGCGATAGATCCCCGGATCTAGACGTTATGACATTTACTATTTGAAATTTCTCAAAATTTCATCATTGGATAATTATTATCCATTCTCAAAATTTTTTATTTTGTAAAAAAAACTTTCTAATTTTTTTCTAAAATTTAATCATGTAAAAATATTTTAAAAATAAATAAATAAATAAAATAATAAAAATACCAAAACAGAAATGGCTCAACTCAGCGGCTAGAATATAAGTAACATAATGGGTTGGCACTTGAGTTAGGTCACCCGCTAGGAAAACACATAGATCCTAGTATTTCTTAAAGTAAAACGACGTCATTTTCAAAAGGTATAAAAGCCCAAATTTCTTCTTTTTCTTCAAATCTCCTTTTTTTGTCTCTCTTTCCTCTTTTTTTTCCTCTATTTCTCTCTCTAAAATTGAAGAACTCTGATTGAATCTTTCATCAAAAATTGAAAAAATCTCACTAGAAATTGAAAAACTCTATCGAAAAAGATGAATATTGCTGAAAATTGTGTCGAAATCTAAAAATTTTCCAAAAAATTTTTAGAAAAAAATTGCAAAATTTTCTTTTCAAACCAAAAATTTCCCTAAAAATTTTAGACTTTTTGGCTATTTTCATGTGTTTTTTTTTTCTCTGATATCCTTATGCATCTTGCTTGGTTGATTCGGGTTTGTATTTATAGGGTTTCAATCAGAAAACCCTAAACCAAAAAGGATTTTGATTCCCTTTAAGTTTTAACTCCAAATTTTAAGTCCAACTTAAACTTTTCAGTTCAGACATAGTTTCACACAAACTCAACCTACCAGATTTTCTTTTTTTCATTTTCTATTTTTTTATTTTTTTTATTTTTTATTAACAAAAACAAAATCAATTAGAACCCTAGATAGATTTAGGTGTCTACAGTAATCTCTTATCATGGCAACCGATTCTCTTATTTAAATATACATGCATTATACATTTACTACAATACATGCATTATACATTACTTTCTTATAGCTTTTTTAATAAGGTTGTGCTAAATGTTTCAATATACACGCATTATACATTTACTAAATACATGATACATTTACATGCATTATACATTACTTTCTTATAGCTTTTTTAATAAGGTTGTGCTAAATGTTTTGAGTAATTTTGAGGACTCCTAATTATCAATTTAGCCTAAAAAGTTGGAGCAATGAAAGATTTTGCATTGCTTTCTTGTAACTTTTTTAATAAGGTTGTGCTAAATGTTTGAAATCCAATAAGTGTGATTCGATAACAACCAATAGACGATTTAAACTAAATACAAAAAATCATCATCAATTATTTTATTAATTGTGATTGGTCACTTTAAAAATATCTTTTTTAATAAAATCATAAATTAACTAGGTTCTTGAATTGAAAAACCACATTTTTTTGTTATTTGGTATTGAAATTGGGTCATAAGCAGTTTTTTAATGCAAAAGCTATTTTCAATAGCAATGCTAAACTAGATCTTTCTTAAAATCCTATCCTTAGATATTTATATCAAGTTTATGATTAGTTGCGAATCTTGAAATTTGATCTTGAGGGGGCCAATTAAAATTATATATATTTTCATTTGTTATGTTATTCAAATTTAAGAGTTAATGTCGAATACAATATGTGTTCAACAAGAATATATTAACTTTTTCTTTATTTTTAGAAAATTCAATCTCCATATTCACATTTATTATATATGTATCAAACAAAAATAGTTCCAAAACAAAATTCCCATCAATTAGCATAATTTATTTGAAGTTTTATCAAATAAAAAAAATTAAACAAAGGTCACAAAGATATAAGAAGGTAAAATATATCTTTGATATTTGGTTGAAAAGTTGCAATCTTGTTGAGAAACTAGAATGTTAATTTATTATTATTATTTTTTAAGTTTACATAAATGTGACTTAATATAAATTTATTATTTTTAAGAGTTTGTGAATAATGATTGCGGATATAATAAATAGACAAATAATAATATGATTTTAATTTCTCTTAAATTACAATATCAAACAAATAAAATAAATAATTAACAATAACATTTAATGTGAAGCCATAAATTAAATTTAAATATATAAAAATATTGTATATATAATATAATATATTAAACAGTGAAAGAGTACTAAAAATAATGGCCTATACAATTGTCTTTCAACACCTGCTCATATAAAGAAGTACATCATGCTGTCATATGAAAGAGTGAGAAATGTTACGGCTAGTTTTTTCTTTTTTTCTTCGAATAATAAATTATGAAGTTTTAAAAAGTTAAAAAAGTTAAAAATTTATTACCAACAGTGTAACGTTTTAGTTTAGCTATAAGTATATTTGCCATAGAATTTTTAAATGCTATATGATTAGCATTAAGAAAATTTCAATAGAGCAAGGCCCAAGGTTCCAACGAATTGCCTTGTTATGATGCATATGATGCAACAATAAAGTACGATGTACATTTTTACAATATTCCTCTTTAGAAAAAAATACATTTTTATTTACTATGAAAAAAAAAATTAATGGGAACTTTTCTATGCAAAAGAATCTTCTAAGTATCGCTGCCTCTTGGCAAGTTATTAATGTGGACAAGTCAGCAGTACTTTTCTGTGCCAATAAAAGGCTAGAAATAAAAACTAAATTAATGGATACTCTGGGTATCTATAGGACAATGGAATATGGCTCTTACCTGGGATTGTCAATTGCCTTTGAAAGGGAGAAACGTGGCCGTCTTGGTCCCATAAAACAATAAGTATGGTCTAGGATTCAAGAGTGGCACAGAAAGATTCTATTGCAAGCTGGAAGAGCTGTTCTCATTCAAGCGATTGCACAAGCTATACCTTCACACCTTATGTCTTGTTTCAAACTAACGAGAAGCTTCACCAATCAGCTCACGTCTTTAATGGCAAGATTCTGGTGGGGCTCTACTACAAGATTCATTGGAGCAATTAGGATTCAATGTGCTATTCCAAACTGGATGGTGGACTTGGGTCCTGTGATTTGGAGGCTTTTAACCTGGCATTTTTAGCTAAACAAGGATGGAGGCTGGTCCAAAATGAAGACTCTCCGTGCTACAGAGTATTAAAGGCAAGTTACTTTGCTAAGGGCTCATTCCTAAAGGCTAAAAGAGGTGCCTCTGTTTAGTAAATTTAAGAAATACAAAAATAGTAAGAAAGAAGAAAATATGACTTTGATGCGTGAATAACACTATCTTAAAAGTAATTAAGCTTATAGGATACAATAAAGCCTTAAAACTTTTTAAATCAAAAGTAGTGAAATTTGTTAGGTAAAAAAATCTATTTATAATAAATGAACAATCACTAATCAAGTCAATTTAAAAAGTTATGATATTCTGTATAGTCATGTTTTATTGTTTAAATAAATTTTATTTAAACAATTATATTTTTTGTTCAGATATATTTATTTGTATCATCATATTTTTCACTGTTCAAACATATTTATTCAGAATTAGTAATATTTCAAATAAATAATAATAATAATAATAAGATTTAAAAAATTAAATCTATTTGTCAAACAAGTCCAAGTGACTCAAGTGCTCAAGTGCCCATATTTGACTTTTAAAATTGTCTAATCTACTAAAAAATTTTTAGCAAACCCAAATAATTTGGCCCACTTCAACATTTAGCTCAATTATTTAAATAACATAAGTAATTTCTTTTAAACTATATATAAGTAATCTTTCTACTCAACTTGAGATACATCACATTCTAAACTACCAATAGCCTCTCCTTGGTATCTCTAGAGTAGCCTTCTTATGGGCAGGGAAGTTTTGCTCAAAGGAACAAGATAGAGGATTGGAGAAGGGACAAGTGTGGACACCTAGGAAGACAAATGGGTGGACAAACAACCAAACTATAAAGTTAATCTACTAGAAAACCAACACCCCACGCCAATGAAGGTGGCTTTGTTAATTGACCAAGATTCAAAAAGGTGGCAAACAGAGACAGTAAATGAGCTGTTTTGTTCTGAAGATGCTGGAGGAATGTTTCTCATACCATTGAGCAAATATAACACTAAGTACACTTTTATTTGGAATGATACCATGCTTGGGAATTTAACTGTCAAGTAGGCCTTTCGGGCTAGGGTGGTGCTGAAAAGAAGAGGTCCAGATTGACAGCAAAGACACCCGGTTTGGAAACTGTTATGGACAGCTAATGTGCCAACAAAGGTTAAAATCTTTCTTTGGAAACTTATATATGAGATTCCACCAACCAGAAGTGAACTGAATAGGAGAGGAATACATTTGGATAACCAATGTGTTGTGTGTGGTTACAATGGCGAATCGTGGTTCCATATTTTTATTGACTGCGTCTTGAGCAGGAAACTATGGTCTAAACTGAACTTGACAATTTGAGAAATGCCTTTATGCGATAACCCAAAGGACTTCTGGCTACAGGCCTTCATGAGCATAAAACAGAATGTTCCATTGGAGACATTCATGCTTTGCCTCTGGACATTATGGTTTAGCAGGAACATGTGCTTTCACCAGGGGAAATGCTCAACGGTTAGAAATTTGTGCGGCATGGCACGACGTATGGGGGAAGGGAGGATGGGACAGGAAATGCAGCAGGAAGCTGTTATGACAAACACCCAGCAAGAGCTTTGGCAACCTCTTGGGAGGGAGGAAATAAAACTCAAAGTGGATGCAGCTTTTGTAGAATCCTCAAAGGAAGCTAGTTTGGGAGCGATGTGTAGGGACACTACTAGGAAGATATTACTTTCTACTATATCTAAAGAAGCTAGAATCAACAATCCCTTAATGGCAGAAATATGTGCTATTCGATGGGGGCTACAGGCTGCTCTGGAACACGGGATAGAAAGTATAATTGTGGACAGTGATTCCTTGATGGCTATTAAGGAAATTGTTCAGGCGATTGATTCTTTCTTTGCTGGCTTTAATTTGATTCAAGACATATCCCTGGTCCAAAATGATTTCTTTGCTAGCTAAACAAAGATGGAGGCTGGTCCAAAATGAAGACTCTCTGTGCTATAGAGTATTAAAGGCAAGGTACTTTCCTGAGGGCTCATTCCTAAAGGCCAAAAGAGGTGCCTCTCCTTCATATCTCTGGAGTAACCTTGTTATGGGCAGGGAAGTTTTGCTTAAAGGAACACGATGAAGGATTGAAGAACTACTTCAACTTTCTTTTTTGTTTTTTTTTAATACTTAATACTATCAATTTTTTTATATGTTAAATTTATTTTTCATTTTCTAAACTTTTTCCCTAAATCATGAAACATTAATTTTATGAAAACTTAAAAATTAATGTAAAATATATCAAAATCGATTTTTCTTTTATATTAGAATTTGACACACATTATGTGGAAGGAAAATTAATGTTTTAAAAAGAAATTGTGTTTTGAAAAAAATTAAATATCTAAAAAAGGGTGAATAGTTTTTTTTTTAAGTGAATAGCTATATGTATTTTTAGTATTAAATTTTTATAATATATTTATAATTTTTTTGTTTATTTCCCCCACTAAATTAGTGTTATATATTATGAAAATCAAATGGAACAAAGAATATAGGATTAGAACGGATGAGGAATAAGAGAACACATGGTACTTGCCACCAATTTTCAATCAAATTCTATGCACATTTTTCTTATTTAGAGAACAAAAGGTTCTTAGACTTGATACATTTTTTTTTTGGGTCATTCCAATAAACTTATTTACCTTGAATCTAGCGAATTCATAAAAAATTATATTTTTACAATCTCCTATTCAAACTCATAACGAATATGAATTCAAATAATAAAAAAATGAATACACTATTATTATCACTTGAATCAACTATTTGTTGATTCTCCCAAATACATCTGAAAATGAGCTATTGAGCCTTAAGGTTGCTTGAAATTTTCAAATTGAATACTTTTATTAAGGAATAAGATCTATTCAAATGTGATACTTTTAAACTCCACAAATCAATATATGAGATATTGGCTTAGTGGTAAGCACGAAATTTTAAAATCTCGAGATCTTAGGTTTAAGTCTAATAATGTGTAAATTTTACCATTTAATTAAGTTATAGTTTATTAGTTAATTATTTAATGATGTAATAGTTAATTATTTAATTAATTATATGAATGTAATACTTTATTATGAATATAACTTAAAAAAAATTCACAAATCAAATGAGTTTTATCCTAAGCTAAGATAATGTTTAATCATAATTACCTAAATAGGATACTTGTAAACTTTATTCCAAGTGAAAGATATTTTGAGTCAATTAACTTTCACGCCAGCAATTAATTTATTCAATGTCATGATCTTCTTTCTTCCATTCACAACCTTTTCTTTCTCCTTTACATGCATAAGAAATTTCAATCAATTTATTATCTCCTTCTGTCAAGTCTCAATTACTCTCACTCTTCACTTTCTCTCTCTTCAGTCAAACTTATTTCATTCAAAAATAAATGAACATGGCTACCAAGTTGGCTATTTGCATCGTTGTTTTGATGATTGTTATTGTTGAAGTTGATAGCTTGGTTTTTTTCAGCATTCCAGATGTTTATGAGGAACTCATATTCATGGACTCGAAGTTCTTCCCACCCTTACACAGCGTGCACTGGAACTCATCAAGAGAGAATAGATTGAAGATTGTCTTTCGAGGGCTAAGAAAGGGCGGTTCTTCTGCCGATGATCCACCAGCTGTAACGGTGACTCAACCTCACCAATCTCAGACTCCGTAACCACCATTTTTAAATCATGTAGATATATAAGGTTTTTTATAAATGCTTTTTTCAGGTTCGGCTTAGCAACAGAAGCATATTCTAACGGCAACTTTCTTTTTCCTAAAATACCTCTACTAATAAGTTCTTTTATTTCAAATGATTTCTTCAGTGCATAACACACGAAATGATTTCTTTATTTCAAATGATTTCTTCAGTGCGTAACACATGAAATTAGAGTCCAGAGGCCGAAAATCATGCATTGCAACAGATCTATCCATGATAATAAAATTCGTTCATTACAATCTGAATAAAGAGGAAACCCCTTAATTAAATCAGAGAAATATCCGCTTCTTGATACTGGGGTCCATGCTATACAATATGAGCAAGGAGTAAATAAGTATCTGGTTTCCTCTTGTACTAAAATAAAGGGAGAAAAAGAAGAATGGGAGCCTGACATGGCATTAATTTGGTTTAAAGTACCCTATCGAAGGAAATAAATTTAAAATTACCCCTATCAAAGAATAAAAATTTGAAATTACTCTTATTTAAAAAAAATAAAAACTCCAAATCGAATGATAAGGGTGTCAAGTGTTTTATTAAAGTATATATTTATGAAAATTAATAAATTAAATATTAAATAAATATATAAAAACTATTTAATTTTACTTATAAAATTTAAAAATTTCACTACTAATATATAAGATTTTAATCTTTCTCTTAATGGGTTGGTGTAAGCCCGACCCGGGTCACGTTGGACTGAAGTTGGGCTAAGGGTTTAACATTAGCAAGCATAATAAAAGGGTTTGCCAGCGGAGAGGAAAATCATATAAACCCTAAACCCTGGTCTCCTCTCCGTCCTGCAGACCTCTAAAACTCTTAGGACGTCCTGGTTCAAGTTTCGCGATGGGGAAGAACAAGGGCAAGCAGCGGAAGCAAATAATTCTGCCACCGGAACTCCCGCCGGAAATAACGGAGGATGAGATTGAAGTCTCCGACGAGGACCTTCAATTCGTCGACGAAAACAAAGACTACGCTGGCTTCGTCTCTCGCTTGGACACTCATTCTATCACCAAGTCCGTTACTTCTTTCTCTATTTTCTCTTCAATTTTTATTTTCTCATAAAGCTTAGTTATTAACAAGAGAATAATTTATTATTTACTGGGAATTGTTTAGATTGCAGTTAGCATAGAAGTGGAATTTTTTATAATCACAACTTACGATTAGAAATTTTTTTTCTCATTTGTTAGAATAGAAATTGTTCGAAAGTGATTTTTATGTTACTTATCGATTTTATTGTGAATTTTGCTACTTAAGTTTTGTTAGGAAACAAAAAAAAAATTCAAGAAAAACAAACAACCAAATGGAATCAGATTATTGCCTTTGTAAATTTGACTGCAGTAACATATAGTGAGAATTGATGATCGATAATCTCAACTTACAATGGGCATTGTCTTTCTTTTCTATTTTTTTTTAAGCTGCATTTGATCAATTTCAATTTGTCTTTGGGTGTTGTACTGTGTCATTGTGTTTTCTTGCATTGTAAGTAAAAAGTTAGCGATTTCTGTTTGGTTATACATGCTGAGATTTTATAGTTGGATGCGGAAATTAGTTAAACTTGAAATGCTATTTGGTTGTGAAAACTTGAAATGAGAATTAGTTATCTCAACCTAATTATGAGAACTTTCTTTTGTGGTTAGGCAAGTCACTCGGGTGGAGGGTTTCAGTGAAGATGCTTTGGAGGCTTTATATGAGAAACGAAGAAGGAAGGCACTGAAGCAGAATGAGAATGAGAAAACTGTTGTTCAAGTTGATCCAGTTGATGCCCTTCCTGTCAAGACTTTGGATGGAGAAATCTACTACCGAACATGTATCTTATCTTTATCTTAAAAAAGAAAAAAGAAATCATTTTTACTTTCTTTTCTGGTAAAGAAAGTGGGTTCATTGAAGGCAGAGAATGAAATGCTTTATGCTGTTATGCAATGCAGTTTCTCAGGCAACAGAAGTAGCTGAAAATGAAGAAGGGAATGAAGATAAGAGCATGGTTAAGCTGACAAAAGCTGAAAGGAGGGCAAAGCTTAAAAAGAGTAAGAAAGAGGCTAAGAAACTAGGGAAGGAATTGTCTAAAACTGAAGAAGTGCAACCAACTCAACAAGAAGCTGCAGTAGTATGTTGTTACATTGCTTTTCTTGATCTCTTGCTACATTCAACAATAAAAGAATGACTTAGATTTTTACATTTTGCATCTCAGACAATTTTGGTAATACAGAAACCTTTTGAAATGAAAGGATTCAAATTGCTTTAAACTCTTCATATGGTGAGGATAATCTTCTTAGTTTTCATTTTAGTTATTTTCAATCATTTTAAAACACTATGCTGGAGCATTCCTTTTGAGCATTAGAGATGTAGCAGGATTTAGTACGTATATAGCGTAGCAGGCTTATTGCATACCTTAAGCTTTGCCTGTCATGTACCACTATAAGAAACTGAGGCTGGACTGGGCTGTCAGACAATTATAACAATCTATACTAACTTGATTACATGCTGCAGTGCCTTAAGTAAGTTCAGGAATTTAATTGGCAGCTGCTTGACCATTTTGACACTTACTATTTTGCTTGATATCTTCTACTATCTTTATGGTAACTTTATCAATCACCGCAACAAGTTGGAAACAGAGTTCGTATCCTGTGATAAGTATTATCTTTTGAACTGGATGATATAAGTTGGATATAAGTTGAACTCAAGTTAATTCCCTAGTTGGGTTATGTGCAGCGCTTGGATTTAAAGTTAGGCTTTTAGGATTTTTGTTAATAGAAGCTACCATTTAGTGTTCCATTCAATCAGGATTTGAAAAGTAGAGTGGCTGGAAGGTAAGAAATAAATTACAGTATTTTCTGGCATCAGCCAGCCATTTGAATGATATGTTTGGAGGAGTTAATTGGTAGGGTTTGATGGGAAAATATGTCGAGGCCTTCAGTTGTCAAGTATATAGAAAAGTGTTTAATTTGTCCTGCCTGAGACAAAGAGATTTCAGGTTTATTGGAAGTGTTCTTATGTTGTGTTCAGTAATTCAGGATATTTTAGCTGTTCTAAGGGAACAAGAAAGGGGCCGAAAGCAGTGTAAGCTTTAGCAACACTTGCCAATTATCACAATTCTACTTGAATCTAATAGAAACCAATTCTCGCTGAATCTGCAAATTTAAGTGAAGGGTTTGTTAGTATCTAAATATAAATGTATAGGCATTTTTCTTAGAAGGGTTTCCCTTCGCTACATATTAAGATGGTGCAAAAAGCTTTTTATCTTGCTTCTCTATCTGCATCATTAAGTATTATAATTTCATGGAAGAGTGGCAATCTTAGTTTGACTTGTACTTATTAGCTTGAACATCTAGTTATGTTCTAAAATTTTGCATAGATTGCTCACAGTCATACTGTTGCATTCTTGCTCTGATGTTCTGAATAATCCTTGTTTCTGTTGTAATACATAAATGGAGAATTTTGCCTCCATGTGTTTGTGTATGCTGTTACTTATGCTAAATCCCTGCTTCTATGCTTGTTTGCATTTGTTCCTACCATTTGGCATTTTCAATGGGGAATTCATAGATACTATATTCTCATGCTCCAGTTGTTATCTTCAATGTTTAAATATTGCTCTTTGTTTAGGCAGAGGTGAAAGAAGACCTCACAGCTGAGGAAGCATTTGAAAGCAAAAGGCGTAAGCTAGCTGAGCTTGGAATGGCACTACTTGCAGACCCAGAGGCAAATATTAAGTCGCTGAAAGAGATGTTGCAATTTTCCAAAGATGGTAATCACTCTATTGTAAAGCTTGGACTGCTGTCTATGTTGGCTGTCTTCAAAGACATTATTCCTGGGTACCTATCACTTCTTTTCTTCTCTACTGCCCCTTAATTTTTATTTTCCAATTAATTTTCCTTTTCACTGCATTGTATTTGTATTTTTACTCAACTTTTAGATGTGTGAATACAGCTACCGAATTAGGCTTCCTACTGAAAAAGAGCTAGAAATGAAAGTTTCCAAGGAAGTAAAGAAAATGCGGTACTATGAATCAACACTTCTGTCGGCGTACAAGGTTCGAACTGCTATCTTGTTGTGACCACTGTTCTGAAATTTTAATATGATTTGGTTTAGTTCTTGAGTGGAATTGGCATGGTGAGGGGATTCTCATTCATTGATTCACAATTACAATAGGGTTTATAATGTATATAATATTTAGCATGCTATGTCTACCACATGTTCTTTGTAGAAAGGCCGCTATTATCTGAAAGCCTATAACATGGCTTAATTGGCACATGGAGTTGTGCAATCATATTATCTCCTCCTGGTGAATATGAAAAGATTGTGTAATGTCACTACATGAAGATGAACAAAATATTGTATTATCTTGTGAAGATATGTTATGGATTGTCTTGGTTGAATCAACTTTTCAGTTATGCTTGAGTCTAATGGTAAAGACGCTGCTAGTGGGAATTCCTCCTTCCCAAAGAGGTTGTTAGCTGGTTTTATAGGATTTCTAATACTAAGTCTTTATGTTTTCCACGTACTTGAGTTTATTGTTCGTGCAAGAGATTATTATTAATTTGGGATTTCCCTCTCATCTTCATTCTATTCCCGGGAATGTGCAACAGGGATATCTACAGAAGTTGTTAGCCTTAGAAAAGCAGCCCATATTTCATCATGTTGTGGTTCGTTGTATTTGTACTTTGCTTGATGCGGTTCCTCACTTCAACTTCCGTGAAAGTTTGTTAGCTGCTGTTATCAGAAACATAGGCTCCTCAGATGATGTCGTAAGGTATAGTGCTTTCATGTGCTTTGAAAAGTTAAAAATTCTTAAGTAATCTGTTGAAGGCCTTTGAAGGATTGATGTTGGGAATTTAATGTATTAGTATTGTAATTTGAGCTTAGACACCACAATTAAACTTCAAAAGCAGTATCATAATAATTGTAAAATTAATAGTAAAGGTCTATGTGCTTGTTTTGCAAAATTATAAAAACCTGCTTTAGGAGATTGAAATACTTATTCAATGACTTAAAACTGTTGAGGAAAATGAAATTTGATTTAATTTCAGAAATCCTCTTTTAGCTATTTACTTTAACAATCTTTTGGACTGGCATGTCAAACCTCATGGAGGTAGTTTAATACTCTCATCTAGTGTGTTTAGATAGATTCTGTGATAGATAGGCTTCATTAGTCGCATAGCTTGTTGTTTATTGGTCATCTATGTTAAATTATTCTAAAACTTTTAACTTGAGTTTTGGAAGATTGATCCATTGATATAGATAAATAGTTTACATTCTTCTTGCTTCTTTTCATTTTATTTCTTATTTTCCATATTTATTAAGATCAGGTCATAGAACCTATTCAGCACTGCATCTTTTTTTGTTGCTTTTTTCCAGTAAAAAGAAATGGAAACTTAGCTGGAGGAGTCATTTCATTAGTGCATAATCATTTTTTTGGTACTTTTGTTCTTGAAACAGAGTAATAAAAGTCATAAATCAAAATATTAAAAAAAAATCCTTTTAGCTTAATTGCTAGACACGTTCTATTCTATTGGTCCAGTGCTGTGTCATTGTCATGCATTGCCTGTGGTATCTCAGCACTAACCAGTTCTTCAACTGCCACCACTGCCCTCTCCCTTTCACCTCATTGCCTTTCTATAACTACCTTCGCCATCATAATATTTCATCCTTTCTGAGTTATTAGAAAATAAAATGCTCATCAATATATGTAGTTGGCCTTTAAAAGGAAAAATTATATATATATATATATATATATAATATTGGGTATTTTAGTTATGGCATTACTTTTACCTTACTGATTAATTGGTAGAGGGGGATAGAGGTTAGGCTTTATTCTAATCCTATTAATTAAAATGAATCTTTGAATAAAAGAAATTTTAAAAACAGACTTAAAGAAATGGTATTTCAAAAATATCCAAGAAGTCAGCACAAAGGAGATGATAATTTCATTCGACCATGTCAAATGAGCCTGAGCTTGTGCTGAAGAAGCTTAATCCTATTATATATCCAGACCTTTCCTTTGATCATTTCATGCATGGAGGAATGGTAATTGCTATGTGGCTTCCTTTTCAAGAAAGCTCCCCCAGTTCCTTGAAAGCTTCCCCAGCTACCTGTTTGCTACACAGATGCTGTGCTAATCTATTAATCCTTGTTAAAAGACTAATTCCCTGCAAATTATGAAATAGACTATGGTCTAATGTTTCACTTTATTTCTGACACTTGCAACTTTAATATCATCAATGAAAGAAATATTATGGTGTTCTTCACCATTGCTAGTGCAGTTTCCTGTATCACCCTAGATCACCGTGGAAGGATAGTAATTACCTGTACCCTCCTCAAAACTTGCTAATATAATTGCTTCAGTGATTATCACGTAAAATACTTTTTTGTTGCTTTTGTCTTTTCAACTAAAATACCTACCACTTGTTTGCAGGAGACTTTGTTGTGCTGCTATTAAGTCACTTTTTACCAATGAGGGCAAACATGGTGGTGAAGCTACTGTTGAGGCTGTTCGGTTGATTGCAGATCATGTGAAAGCTCATGATTGTCAACTGCATCCTGATTCTGTTGAGGTGTTGGATAGTCTTAAACCGTACCTATTTTATACTGCATTTATCTTTCTTTAATTGTACACTTTGTTTTTGTGCAAATATCGGTAAAGCTGAAATCATTGGCATGGTTGGAATCTGTTTTGTATCGCCAGTATCTTCCCAAGTAAAGACTATGGCCTATCTCCTAAGTTTGAAATCCATAACCTTGCCATAGAAGATAATAACTTTGTTGAAGTTCCTTTTCCTCTTTGTTTGTTCAACTACTTCCTGTATAAAAGGTATTTGTAGTTATAAACAATTCAAGTTGGAGCTATCTGCAACTGAAAACTTTGGAGTGCATTTTGCATGTCATCTTTATGATGTTAAGAAGACATGGAAACATTATCGTCTGTTTTTAACTGTTGTATACTTTGCCAATTGGTAGTTGATCAAATTAGCTAACGATAATTGGAAGGTGGGATGACTTCTTTAGGAGAAATGCTTCCCTTGTGATTCCCATCATATTTACTTTTTGTGTAACTTTGTGTCTTGCTGTTCCTTAATACCTTTTTTGTTTATTGCCTATACTTTTTCAGGTTTTGATGTCTTTGTCATTTGATGAGGATCTTGGGAAGCCCGAAGTTGCAGAAGGTAATAACAAAATTAAGAACAAGAAAAATAAAAAGAGAAAGAATATTGAGGAGTCAAATCAATTGCAAGGAAATGACAGAAAGAAAAGTAAGCAAGAAAAGATAGCAAAGATGAAGGAAGAGGTAATAATCCCTAAAATAGCAACAATCTTGATGTTTCCATTATCTTTCTTGTTACAATTATCGCAGCATTGATGTTTGAATGCCTCGCCCAGGTTGCTGCAGATTATAAAGCTGTTGCTCATAGTCCAAATGTTGAGGAACGGAAGATGATGCAATCTGAGACACTTTCTGCTGTATTTGAGACATACTTCCGCATCTTGAGGCATACCACACAATCATCTGTAGCCAGGTGTGTTTGATCATTACACTATTGCAATGATCGGTGTGGTTGATTAGTGGTATTTTGTGAATTTTTCCACAAGTTGTTTCGGGCAGTGAAAAATGCTGCTTCTATATCATATTGATGAAAGATGGAGGATAAAAGACAACTATATACATGAAAAGTGGAAAATAGCAAGAACTCTAATTTCTGACAACCTAGGCTTGATTTAACAGTTGTTATGGCTCCAAGTGAGGGTCAAAGTTAGGGATTCAACTCCCTCTAACCTTATAAAATATGTTCCTGAAACAAAAAAAAAAAAGGGAAAACCTTTTATATTTTTTGCAGATGCAGTGTATGTTGCAATGCAATTATTAACCGATTGCAAAAATGAGCCCCTGCATTTTTTATTATGACTGCTGTTTGAGGGGCATTTTGTTTCTCAGATAAGTGGCTCTTTGATTAAACCTCACCTCCCCCAACCCTCCTCTTCTGATCACATCAAGTGATCAAGAACTAGGTGTAGAGAGAGAGAGAGAGAGAGGCTTATGTCTACCAACCTGTAGTAATAGCAATTTAAGCTAGGACATGACAAATCATTAGTGCAGCTTTTAGTGGCCAATTTAGTGCTGGCATGGGGGTGCTAGCCATCAGCCATGTAGGTTTACAAAATAATGCTAAAAAAGTTCATGAGTAGTTTGATTGATTCATAAGGTATCAGTGGTTGCCGAAAATATGCCAGAAAAAATCATATGTATTTTCGATAGTCTGCATCATTCTTTAGTTTGAAGAAAAGTGACTCCTTCAGGTTCTCAAAATGGAAGGCAGTTAGGAACTTTTTTTCTTATATCTCCTCCAAGCTATCTTGATGACATTAACTGTAGATGGGTTTTTCGGTTTTTGTTTTGATTTGTCTTGGAAGTTAATGAAAGTTAGGTTCTTTCAAGGTTTTACTCTCTCCTTAGTGCCATGTTTGGATAGACGAAAGTAAAGGAAAGGAAAAGAAAATGAGGTTTTTCAAAAGAAAGGAAAGAATACATGTACTCCACTATTTGGATAGCTAAAATTAAAAAAGGAAAGGAAAGGAAAGAAATCATAACAACCATTGTTTGGTCAAAAAGTGAAAAGTAAAAGAAATGATTTATTATAATATTTTTAAATAAAATTAGTTTTATATATTAAAAATATATTTTCTTCAATATTAAAAACTAAAAATAACATTTTGTTGATATACATAATTATCATTTTCAATATTTTGACTAATAAATAAATATACATATTTTATTAAGATATATAAGAGAAATTTGTTTATAACTTGCCCCTTTGATTACACATGTCCCATTATATCCTCACATCATCCTCTTTTCCTTTTCCCACTACATCAACCCAACAAACTATTTTCATTTTTCCCCACCCTCTATAGTAATCTCTTATATATATGATCTTGAGGCTTCTTTAGGCTTTTCTTTTTATGTGCAGAACCTTTCTTTCTTCATCTGAACCACATAATACCCATGTGATTTTGTTTTGAATTGTTTGTGGTTGTTAATTTTTTTTTATATGGTGGTTTTTAATTGTTATGTTGTTGGACTAGCTAGTGAATTTAAGATAACAGAATTAAAAGAGTTTTAATGAAAAAAAACCTCATAATTATACCATTTTATTGTTTAAATGTTTTTAAATAGTCTTTTTGTATGCTGGTAATTATGGATGTAATCAACACCTTTGATACTTCGATAGTGATCAACACCTTTGATGAATGCAAAGAAAGCCAATATTTCGATAGGCTAAATTTTTTTTTTGGCCAGTTTGGCCACAATATTGGCTCTCTTTGTATTCATCAAATATTCATGATGACATGCCATCGTGCAAACAGACTGGAAAATCTCATCCATCATTTTATGTTGGGTTTTTCTTTGTGACAATGTTCCAAAAAATGAAAGTTTTTATATGAAATTGTAAGGTTTGCTGAAATAATTGAGGATTTTATAGACATTTCAGCATCTAAACTTCTTTTGCCTTTCCTTTACCTTCCTTTTCCCCAATTTTGAAGGAATTGAAAAATAGAGCTTTTGAGGGAAACCAAGGGATGTGAAGTACCCCTCCATTTCCCTTGTTTTGTTTTATTAGTTAGCCAAACAAGGGAAAGGATTCCCTCTTTTCCTTTCCTTTCTTTTCCTTTCCTTTCTTTTCCCTCCACTTCCCTCAATCCAAATATAGGCTAAGTTTCAGTATGTGTTTGATAAACATAAGAGGGGAAAAATGCATCTCAATATTTAGTAGTATACATAAAATCAGAATTTTATTTGTTAGAAGGGTTGTTAACATTGATTGAGATTTCTGAACAACGGTGGATTAGGAAGGTTAATGCTGACACATAATAAAGTTAATTACCGAATGAATTTTACACTGATCTCCTTTTTATTTAATTTGAGCTTGTCTTGCCTTTGTATGATATTTTAAAATCTCCAGCAGACCAGTTAATTCTGTTATTTTCTTTCCAGTTCTGAAGCAAATGGTAATATACCTCCTGGTGCATCTGGGGCACATCCTCTTCTAGCTCCTTGTTTGACTGGATTAGGAAAGTTTTCTCATCTGATTGACTTGGATTATATTGGAGATCTTATGAATTATTTGAAAAGGCTTGCTGCAAGAGGTAGCAACTCAGATAGTTCTGCCCAGAAAGTGCAAACCTTGACTGTGTCTGAGCGCCTTCGCTGCTGCATTGTTGCTTTTAGAGTTATGAGGAGCAATCTTGATGCTTTGAATATTGATTTACAAGAATTTTTTGTCCAGCTTTACAATATTGTACTTGAGTACAGGCCTGGAAGGTTAGTAGGATACTGGCTGTTCTTTGTATTTTATCCATTGACTTCATAGCTTAGGAGTAACTGTAAACGTTGATAGTCTTATCCAGCTGCAAAAGCCTGTTGAGACTTTGCCTATTTCAAGCCTTTTTCAAATACTGAAATCAACCTTCTCAAACAAGATTGGATTTTAAAAAGCCAGTCACCAGAGGCAAAACAGCAAAGTATCAAGTTATTATTGAGTCTCTCTAACAACACCACAAAAAACTTAGCTGCAGTAAATTTTTTGCTTAACATTTGTTTATGAAGCAGAGATCAAGGTGAAGTGTTAGCTGAGGCTTTGAAGATCATGCTATGTGATGATAGGCAACATGACATGCAAAAGGCAGCAGCTTTTGTGAAACGCTTAGCCACATTTTCTTTGTGCATTGGATCTGCAGAATCCATGGCTGGTGTGTTAATTATTTGAGTTGCTCAACTATTTGATTTCAAGTGATTCATTATGGTAATTTTTAGGTATTTTTTCTGTTTTTTTCTTTTTGAACTTTGCAGCCTTGGTAACGTTAAGGCATCTTCTTCAGAAAAATGTAAAGTGCCGAAATCTATTAGAAAATGATGCAGGTGGTGGTTCCGTGTCAGGCTCAATTGCAGTAAGCTATTCTGCTACCCTTAAAATGATAGAATACTTTCTCATATGCATTGTGTTGAGAGTGACAACCGTTGCATATGATGTTCTATTGACATATCGTCCTTTCATTTTGGCAAAAACATGTCATTCTTTTTACAGTTTTTCCTGTTACCTCTTTGACCTATATTTATTCTGGATTTATCCTTATTTGGAAAATCTGTTACTTCTATGCATTATAAGCTTTATTAGTTGTTTATGAAAGAATGACTTGGAGTAGGACGTAAGAATACAGACAGAATAATAATGAAGCATGAAATTTCTAGTTTCTGAACATAATGTGCCAGCCTGTAGCATTTTATTAACCCAACGGGTTTGTGATTTGTGCCTTTTTTATGTTGTATAAAATTGTTAAATTACTATGGCATTGAGCTCTTTAATTTCATCTTCGTTAAGGCATTCAATTTTAATTGATATATTTGACATCTTAGTACCAAAATCTTGCAGTTTGTTTCATTGGCATCACGATTATTGCACTGGTTTATGAATTTTGGTTGTTTTAGAAACAGACATGAAAGTAATTGTTGTTTTTTGTTCTGAAATTGTAACAAACGCAAAACAACCATTTGATTCGCAGAAATACCAACCATATGCCTCAGACCCCAACTTAAGTGGTGCACTTGCTTCAGTACTTTGGGAACTGAATCTTCTATCCAAACACTATCATCCAGCCATATCGACACTGGCTTTGAGTATCTCAACCATGAACACTACTACACAGAACCAGGTTTATCTCTCCATTTCTCCTCAACAAGCATTTAACAACTTGTCATTAGAACAGGAGTCATTCGACCAACGGGGCAGCACCCAGAAATTAAATAAAAAGAGGAAAAGAGGAAATGCACCCTTGGCATCGGCTGGTATCGAACCTACTTTGTTCGATGAAAATGAGGTGAGCAAGAAACTTAGTAGGCATTTCATGCTTCTTCGGGACATTAAGGAGAACGAGAGATTAAGGGGTGAGCTGGACCAAATTATGTCGTCTTTGCAGTTATATGAAGAATACAAGAAGCAAAGCAATTCCTCAAAGCACAAAACCAAGAAAAGCAAAAAACTGTTGGCCGTAAACTGAAATTTGAACTTCAAAAGCAGTCTTTTGGCGTTAAATTCCTTTCATTTTAGTTTCTTACCCCACTTGTAAGTTGGCATTTGCTAATGCTATTACTATAATTTTGGTTTAGTTCTCATATGCATCACGGATTTAAAGAAGTAAAAAATTTTGAAAAAGGAACTATCCGAAGTAATTATTGCAAGAATCAGGTAGGAGGAATATAAGTAGCAAGCGCTTATATTGTGGTATAATCAAGTTGAGTTTTTATATAATATTAGGTTGTCATGAGTTTAGTTGCATTTAAAAATAGAAATAAACTCTTTTTGTGCTTGTTCTTAGTTTGAAAACTAATTGTGCTACTCCAATTTGACTTGAATATCACTAGTTTATTACATAAATTGAGCTCTGAGTTTGGAATAGCAATTCTAATAAATTTTTGAAATAAGTAAATATTATATTTTATTTCTATATGCACATAGTATTAAAAAATAAAAAAAATTGATAACACCCATGAGTTATTTGAGTCTAATATTTATTTTTTTAGTTCAAATAAGTCGAATCTGAGTATTTAGTTAATACAAATAGATTATAAGGAATTGAATTCGTTTACATCAATATTTCATGTCATTGCCTGCGGCATCTAGGATGGAATGTACTATTTTTTTTTTCTTTGTAAATTATAAATTTATGTTTTTCTGTTTCCTAAAGTGAAATTGAGGAATGGGCAAATGGCAGTCCTTTTTTTCTTTCCCTTTCTCTTTCGTACCTACCATATAGCAGGAGAGTATTTTAGTTTAAGACTTGTTCTATCGTTTGTACAAAATTGAGGATGAAGTTTAATATTAGAGGAGAATTGGTATTCTTTGCGTACGCAGTGTTGAAATTTTGGTGTCGGGATCGACTGCCCCTAGTCTTTCCCTTTGATAGAAATCTTTGTCAACACTAGAAAACATTTTCTTTGCCAGCTTTTTTCTTCCTACCGATTATAACCTCCATCTTAAACTCCTTAAACATCAAATGTTAAATTCTTTCCCTTCACTGGTCTGTAAGTCTTTTTTTTTTTTGATAAATAGTAATTATTGCTTCATGTGAGTACTTAACATGGGGACTCCAAAAACCTTGTTTCTAGCCATATTATTTTAATCATGAATAAAAAAACAAGTAATTTTGAGTTTTTGGAAAAAAAAAAAAAAGTATCTTCAAACTAAGAGCTTAAGATCCTAATGGCGTGCAACAGTTAGCTCAAACCATGTGCCTCATATCTTGCCTTCACATGTTCTCCTTCCACCAATTCCATTGCCCTTTATCTCCGGATCTTCAATCATTTCCTCTAAAAGAAACACTCTTAAAAACTCATCTCGCAACTCTTAAAAGCAAAAATATACTTGTTTCTCGATCATGATATATATATTTTTACATAATATGATTAGGAATATTTTCAAATTTTTTCTAGTTTTAATTTCTTTATTAAATGATTTTAAAATTTTTTTATATTAATTTACTGCATTTGAGATTTTATTTTTAAAAATTAAAGTGCTCCTCACAAAAATCATACCCTAATAAACGATGAAAGAAAAATTTTCTTATCAATTAAACAAACTACTTTGGATAGTCGAAAATAACATAGAAAATAAATATTTTACAATATTATTCAAAGATAAGTGATAAATGATTACGACTAAGAAAATGAACGTGACTCTGCGTTTTAAGATGCACGTGGATTCAAGCGCAGATTAAGGGCATGCATTTGCATAGCACGCGTGAAAAAGTTGGTCCAACCTTATTCTTGGACTTGTTAATTAGTCTTTGCTTATCCTTTATATAATTATTACATAACACTATATTTTACTGCATTTCCATCTTATTATATATTTTTTTTACGTATCACAATAATTATTATGATTTTTTTTAATAAAAAGCTATTAAAATTTAAATCTGACTGCTAAAATCGAAAATTCATCATTTACCAACTTGAAATTAAAACCTTTATTAAAACACATTTGTCAGAGCTCTTCAAAACTGAATAAAACTAAAATGAGAGTTATATTCTCGATATCTGTAAAACGACTTCGTGATTTCTCTTTTATTTTTTTAGGTCAAGTATGTTTGCTTCCCACGTTATTCGCATCATTTAGATTTCCTCTTATTTAAAAAAAAAGAAAAGAAATTTTTTCGACATTAGGGTTTCCAAATCACAAGTTACGTGCAAGTGAATCTTTCGTCCTTTTTTTCTTTTCCTTTTAAATACGAAATAAAAGCATTTTTAATATTTTATATAAATAATTAAAAAGAGGCAATGATGAAGATCGCGTCGCATGATGTTTATACGTATTGACTGGTTGTCTCCGTACCAGAGTGTATAGTTTCATGGTTTGTTTCAATATATATGATAAGCTGTAAACAGCTTATACGTATATTCTAATAACATATTATGATTCCTGCATTCATACTGCAGAGTCTTTGAAATCCTGATCAATAGAATATTCCAAGCTTAATTCCACCTCCTTTTTCTTTCTTCTATTCCATTTCAATAAAAATATCTATCTACTCTTTTGTTTTTTTCTTTCTTTTTCTTTTATATATCATATATCATGTGGTGGCCAACTTGCCACAGGCCATAACCAAGTCTCAAGGTGGCTCATAATCTCTCTCTGAGTTTTTCTTTTTTAATTTCTTATTTTGCTATCTTTCTCGGAAATGTAACAAAATATTTTATCTAGTCAAATCAAGTGTCGAGGTTTAAAGTTCCAGTCATCAAATTAGTTAAAAAAATTGTGAAAAAATAATTTTTAAAATTCTGTAAATGTATCGTATTGGATTTCGTGATTGGATGTTGTTATGGATATATTACAACTCAAGTATTAAATTTTTTTTGAAAAAATGAAATAGCTAATTAATTTACTTACCAATTATTTAAACTTGGCAAATGAATTATCCATGCTTGTCACAAACTTGAAATTCAACTTCACGTATTAAAAGAATTTTGGATCATCAAAGCAAATACACTTAAACCAAAATTTCTTTTTCAAATATAAGATGAATAGCAAGACAAATTCTTTGAACACACCACAAAAATTCTTTTTCTATAAATAAAAAATGTAAATTAATAATTTATGGGTTTTTTTTTTTTGACGAGTTCATATATATGTTACTCGGATGCTTTCATTTTATAAAATAACTATTTTTAACCTACTATATATATTATAATCCAATTGATCAATTATATTTCAAGAATCAAAAGTGATTAGTTGGAGTAGATTGGACATTCTAAATATTTAGAATAGATAATTGATAAAAACATTGTGTCATTCATAGTATCAAGACTTCTTCTTGCTCTTTCCACCCTTTTGTCATTTCCTTTACAAAACAAACTCGCACAAATCATCATCGATTTAAGCAAACAATTACTAAAATATTTACGTCAAATTGAAAATTGGACCCTTCTACTCAACTGGAAGAACATGAGCTATACCCTAAGTCAAATGATATTAGGTTGGTCGGTCCGACTTATCAAAGTTTTAATTAATATTTTATTACAATAATTTAATTAATCCATTACTTAATTGATCTTAGCTTGATTTGATCAAATAATTACTTTTCATCACTTTGGCATAATTCTTTGGTGGCTTCATTATCTATATTTACAATTGTCGAATTAATTTGTCCTATTAAAGGATCAAATCGTGGACGGGGTCCACAAATTTTGCTTGATTAAGCTCTTAATCAATTGGTTTAATTTGATTTGTTGATGAGAATGTTTTTATAATGACACATTTTTTCATTGTTTTGTTATGGAAAGAAAAAGGAAAGGTTGATCTCAGGTCAAAGGTGAGCCAATTTGCAATGTGCGGTCTTAATCCAACGTGCAAAACCGAAAGAGGAAAGGACGATTCTCCCACTCATTGTTGCCCAACGTCTCTCTTGTTTGTCACATCTCTCAACCTAAGCCACTCACCTCACATGTTTTCTATAAAATTGGCATATTTTCCTTGCTTTTCCTTTTAGTAATTAAACATGAAAAGTTAATTACAAGCATGTTTTGATGCCTCCTCCAAATTTGAAACCAAATATGAAAAGTAGACAGTATCTCTCTTTACTTTTGCCCTAAGATGATGATTTGTTTGCTGCAAAATTGGGAAAGAGGGAATTAATTCGAGATGATAATTGACTCAGAATATGTTATGTTCAATTGCACGTATGAGTGATGCAATCCACAGATTCGCCTAATTGATATGATCATTTATCTCCGCAATATGGATTAGTTTACAATAGTGTTGCACTTGAAAGAAGTTTGTATTAGAAAAAATACATTTAAAAAGTGTGGTAAAAAGAATATGGTTAGAAATTTTATGTATTTGGTATTGCTATTAAAAAAAAATTTTGAAAATTTATTATAATATATTAAATAAAAATTTAAACCCAAACTTGCATAAAATAAATTTTATTTCCAAAAACCAAATGAAAGTCTCAAAATCAAAAGTGACTCTCTTAAATAATTCCAAAGAGAATGAAATTATTTAGGAAAAAAAATTTGTAAGTCATTTTTCATCATAAATTATGTCAAAAATACTCTTTTTGATTTTTTATGGTTGAGATAATTGACTTAATATAAAAAATTTTTAATTGAAAAAAAAGATATTCTTAAAATTTTGAGGCGAAAATATCACATTTTTGAATGAAATGAAAAAAATTAAAGAAATAATTATGTAATAATACTAAAGAATATTAGTATATGCGATAGGGATGCAATTTTCTAAGATGCTTTCAGCATAGGGAGATTCTAAATATTTTCTATTTTTTCTCTCAACACAATTTTTTTCAAATTTTTTAAAATTAAATTGTTTACTTAATTTTAAACCTTTCATATTATAATTTATTAAAAATATATATCTGAAAATTTTTAAAAGTTTATATTTAAGTTTAAGGAAAAAATCAATTGAAAAAATTTTACAAAAAAATTTTAAGCTTTTAGATATATAAATTTAAAATTTTTAAAATTTATATATCAAAAAACTTAAGGAAAAAAAAGAATATTAAGAGAAAAAAAGAGAAGTAATTTTATTTAAAAATAATTTTTTAAAAGCGTGAAGAATAAAAAATTCAGTGTGAATAGAATCTCACTTTTCTAAAATGCTTTCAACATATCCCGCTGGCCCTATCACTTAACTGAAAACTCAAACCAATCCTCAAACAACGTCTTAATGACGCCTGTATCCCAAATTTTCAACTTTCCCGAAATACCCTTGTCACCACCACCACCTATTACATCTGTGTAGACAACAATCACCGAATGTTCGGCCAAAATTACAGATCTGCTCCCAACAGTCTCAATCTTGTTTGGTTGTCAAAAAAATTCAAGAAAGAATCAGAAAAAGGAAAATAAAATTTCCAAATTTCAAATTCCAAATTCCAAAAATTTATCTATTTTTGACAAATAAAATACATGCAACTGAACCAAGAACCCCTTTTGGCTAGTCGTTGGATCTTTTTGACATTAACAAAAGAAAAAAACTTTATTGTATTTTCAAATTTTCCCTTCAGTTTTCCTTGGAACCGAACAGAAATTGCAGCATTTTAAAACCGCTTCACGCATGAATGAGAGCAGTCAGAATCTCAAACATTCCCGTCTTACTTTCCTTTCAACATTATGATTTTCTTAATTACCAAACAGAAAATTAATTCTGACAAAAAAAAGAAAATTAAAACAAAAATATATATGTAGGGCAAAAAAGAGCAATTCATCCATTTCTGTTCAGTCCTGTTTACATTGAAGGACTACCCAAAAAAACTCTAAATTTCTTCACTTTTCCTTTAACCTTGTATATTTACACACACACACACGACAAAGACAGGAAACGACCTGGTTTTGTTCCTGTTCATCCTCCTAGAAATCAAAAAAACAGTCGTCGGATAAAGAACGAAGGAGATCCTGGAGGTCATGTGACTCAACCCCAAGTCTCAAGGCTTCCATAACGAGTTCAAAAACCAGCACGTGACACGGAATATGAAGCACCCCTTTTTGCTCATACCCGTACTCCTGAGCCGACTTATTAAGCAACCCAATGAAAACCGGGTGGTTCAGCAACTCCGCGCTCACCGCGAACCGCTCCATCTCTTCCCCAACATAAACCGGCACGTGACCTTCAGGGACCGACCGGCGTGCCTGCTTTTTGAACGAAGAAACTCCGACTCGGAACGATTGAGCTCGGTACGTGGAGTTGGTGTCGGAACGAAGGCGGCTGTATCGCGAGGAAGCGTCGGCGACGCGGGAGAGACGGCGGATAAGTTGTTTCATTTGGTGTTTTATGAAAAGAAAAGAAATCTTTGAGTGTGAAGGTGAAGCTATTGTGTCGTCGTCGCTGTTTAGTTGAAAAAGAAAGTAACGGGAGGCAAAAGAAAATGAGAGGAAAAAAGGAAGGAGAGTTGGGACGAAGACAGAGTGAGGTTGGGAATATATAAAGAAGAGGAAAGAGGATATTAAAGAACGGATGCGCATAGAAAGGTGATGATGGGTGAAAGAGGGGGTACAGGTAAGAGTACTGGGCAGGTACAATTACTCACATTATTTTATTATCTTTTTATTTTTTATTTTTCTTATTTTTAAATTTATGTTGGTCCAACAGTAAGCACAAATGGTGATGGGTGAGCCGACCAAGTTGTTCGGATGGAAAGGTAAAGAAGGGATGATTTAACCGATTAAGCTTAAACAAAGCTCCTATCAAGCCAAAAACAATGCCTTGATTATTGTGTGTGTCATTTTAATATTTGAGCATTTGATTTAAATCATTTTGTTGCTAGTGATACGAATATTTGATTTATTAATTATTAAATGTATAGTTTAATTAAAAATTTTGAGTTTAAAATTTTTTTTCAAATTAAATAAAAATATTATTGTTTATGCAACTTATACAAAAAAGTTTGATATATTAACAGAATATTAATTTTTTTGTAAAAAATAATCTAAAATTACAAAAAAATATATAAATATTGAGTATCGAATCTCAATTTTACAAAAATCTATATCAAAAATGAATTTTTAATTTAATTGATTAAAATTTAATTTTTGATAATATTAAATATTAAAAATAAAAGAGTTCAATACTTTTATAAAATATAAAAAAAAAGTATTGCCATCAAATTTTTTTCACCCAAATTTGTTTCAAATAATTTATAACTTTTTCTAAAGCACTTTCTAATTGAGAGTTTTTATTTTTGTAATAAGTGTACATTGTAAGTACAAGTAGAACACTAGCTCCAAAAACTATAATTAACAAAAAAAAAAAAAAAACTATTTCAAGAAAGCATCTAAAAATAAATAGTTATTCAACTTAGCAACCAAAGTAAAATTGGCTGACATGAATTCTATTATATTAATTTTTAAGTAAATTCTGTTTTTTTTTTTAAAACAATTACTAAGCGAATTCTTAAAAAAAAAAAGTTACACTTTTTGTTTTTTATGGATTGTCCATTAAAAATTTACACAAATTTTAAGAAAAAAATTCAAATTTATTTTTTTTACTTATTTTCAATAAAAGTAAAATTTTGACATTTGAGTAAAGATAAAACTTTTTTTTTTTTTTGCAAAACTTTAGGCGCTTCATTAAACTAATAAAAATCGTCATTCACAAAATTTTGAGTTTCATAGCAACCAATAACCTTTATTTTAGAACAAAAAAATAGAGCAATTTGTAATAATCCAAAAAAATTTAAGTAAAACTAACCATTTTTCATCATTTCTGCAACACGAAAAAATATAATAATATTTGCACTAAGTCTCATGGTACTAATCTTGAATCCATTACCATATGCACCAAACTTTGCTTAAGTTTTGAGAAATAAAGAAAAAAAAAACATAAAAATAAGATGAAACAAGAAAAAAAATAATGGTGAAAAACGCTTCATTTCATTTTATTGGATTTTGTATAATAATATTAAAATGTGAGGGTAAATTTAAGAATTTAATTATATTTATTATTTATTTTAGATAACAGACAAATAAATATTATATATATATATATATAGAATTATATATGGAATTAGCTTTGTCTTCAAAGCATTAATATAGTAATAAAAGCCTTCAAAGCTTTATTATTAATTATTGGCTACTTTTTCCAATTTTCCGTTTTTTGTTCTTTAATTAATTAATTGATTAACAGTAATTAATTCCTAATCACCAAACATCGCCATGATTTGACCTTTGTTTTTTTTAGCCTTTTCTTAGTCTACTGTTTACCCCTATTCTATTGAGTCATTTATTCCTACTCTAAAAATTTAGATATATATAATAAATTAAGATAATTTTTTTAGATTTATTAAAAAAATTAAATCCACAAATTTTATGAAAATAATATATGGTTTACTTGGAATACGAAGAAAGCTCATTGGCATTTAGCCAACTTTTTTTATGCTTAAATAGCTATATTCATCTAGAAGATATTAGGATTGATTTATTTAGGATTTTGCTAAAGAGTAATATTTTTTTGAGGCTAACGACTATTCTTAGAGCATTCTTTTAGGTTTCTTAAGATGCTATTTAGGTGGTTTAATGAGCTAATTATAGTAATTAATATATGATGATTAGGTTATTAATATAGTTGCTAAATGTTTAGTGATTTTATGTAATAGTAATTTTGGATAACTAAAAATGATTAGATTATTATCTTGAAAGAAGATCTAATTTTAACTTAAAATAGTGTGAAATTTTTATCATAGTAATATGTAAAATTAACTATAATCAATTTTATTTATTTAATATATAAATTACAAATGTGTTTTCTCTTAAAATTATAATTATTTTATATTATAAATTTTTATATTTTCAAACCAATATTCATTTTATCAAATTGAAAAATAAATTGTAAGCTATCTTTTAACCTTTTTTAGTGTTATATATATAATATAATCTTTTCAAATTTCTTTTGTTATGCTTTTAATAGATTTAGATTTATTTTCTAAGTCAAATGTTTTTTTATATAATTTATATTATAAAAATTTGTTTATCTATCAATAAATATATTTGTTAATTTAACAATTTAATATACTTTATTATGAAGTAAATAAAATTTTACTAATATTTTACAAATTATTAGCTTCAAATAATATTAAAATCATTAATTTGTTTAATTATTATAATGTATGTGCTTATTTTGATATTTTTAAATAAAATAATATTTATTTTTTAGTAATATCTAATATAATAATATCAAATAAATTATATATTCAAATTTTAACTCCTAAATTTTTTCTTTTTTCATTTATTTAGTTTACAGCCTCTCATGTGAAAAAATACAAGAAAACGTTGGGCAGCGCAATTTCCGGAGGAATGCTACTTTACCGTAGTCCGTTGCATTACAGTTCCGTGACTTTCATTGTCCCGTGAACCCCTTTTGTCTTTCTGTCTATGTGTCACTTTCTTCTCTTTTCATTCCATTTTTACTGAGTGAGTAACAACGTCGAATGAAATTTCTTTACTCAATTCACGTATGTCCACGCGCTAATGTGAGAATGAGGATGAGTGCTGCTGTTTACACACAGAAAGACCGTGAAAAAGAAAGTGATACGAATGTTTCCTCTTTTAACTCAAAAAGAAAGAATATTTTGAGATCCTAAGCAACTTGAAGGGTCAATCCCACGGCTCTGTCACATTTGTGCTGATCTTTTCTGGGCAAAACATTTGGGTTTTGTTGATTTCGTGATATTTGAAGAATTCATTGGATTCCATACACATGCACGAGGTTGCCTTCTCTAATACTATAAATCTTTTTTTTTTTTTTCAATTTCATGATTTGATTCAGTATTTCATCGAAAATTTATTTCATATATTATCGATGAAAATTTTAAATTTCGCGACAATTGTAGGATTATTATATTTTATCTGTTTAGGGTATTGCAAAAAAATGGATTATGATAATAAAAAAGAAATATATGATTAATTTTTATTGATAATGCATTAAAAATAAATTTATAATTATTTCAATATTTAATATATAATTATGAAAACGTAAAATCAAATATGAAAATCTCTTTGAGATTAAGATTATGTCACATCTTTCTTTTGATGACTAGTAATCAAGTAACCTCATTATTTTTTTTTTTTAATTTTTTTTAAAAGGTGGTTATAAAAGTTAAAAAGAATCGACTTGCAAAAGTGAAATGAAATTGACATTTATGGATTTATGAACTTTATTTTGTATTAAATCTATAGTTTTCCATGTAAATGTAAAAGGAAAAAAATTAGTGGGCAAAGATTTGTCCGAAGCACTTTGAGAGGATAACTTTAGGTGGTCTAAAGGGGTAATTTGTGTCTTAATTGAACCAATCTTAATTAAGATAATTGAAATAATTATAATCATATAACAAATAAGCGAATCAATTGAATTAAATTTTAAATTTTTGTAAATTATATCTTTACTTTTACATCTTAATTATTTGTTGTAGTAAAGAAGAAGGAAAGCCCAACAACAAGGATGTATCATTTGGTAAAAACAAATTGTATTGAGTGCAAATAAAATTACAATAAACAATTTGATCCAATAGCCATTACTTGCACCATAGAGAATACTAAGATTCAAAATTTAAATCCCTTTCTTTCCTCAATGTTATTATATGTATTCTTATAAGGAAAGGAATTGAAGATCAGAATCCAGCAACGACATACCTATCATTAAATGAAATGTTTGAATAACATGATGATATAATAAAATGAAAAGAAAAATTAAATCCTATATATCAACAATTAAGTTTTAAACTTCACAAATAAGTTATAAATTTTATAATGTTGTCACATATCTATTAGCCTATAATTAAAAAATAATAATAAAAAAATTAAAATAGACTAATGAAATAGACATGTGATAACCCTATAACCTACTTATAGTGTTTAAAAGCTCTAACAATGAGATATAGATAATAATCCATAAATTACCCTAACTTTTTAAATTCATACCTTTCCTCTCACATCTTCAAATATTTAGTAATACGGTCAAGAATATTAAGGTTTAATTTTTGTCGAACGATTTTAAAAATACATTTCATTATACATTAAAATGATATTTTCAAAATTTTATTAATAGTGCTGTCCACAGGAATTGAACCTTATGTTAGGGAGCACCACAGTTTTGATACCATTAGTTGGGTTAAAAGCTTTCAATCTAATCATACTTACGGAAGCGAAAATAATAAATCAAACACACAATAGATAACAATTTAACGTGATTTTGTCTAATCAACTTACGTTAACGGATGAGAAACAAGATCCACTAGTTGTAAAGAATTACAAACATACATCAAATCATCAACCTCACTCAACAATCAATACTTATAAGACACTCTCAATCTCCTCTAGTCCTATTGAATATTTTCAACCCAAACAAACACAAATCCAAACCCTTGTGCACCATTTCAACGTAACCAAACATATACTCATATGCTCATATACATCATACCTATGTGGACCCTCTCAGTCTCCTCTAATTTTCTCACA